CACACGCACACGCACACTACGGCAACCACGCCCACCCCCCTACCCCACGCACCCCCCCCACGACACACGCACACGCACACGAACACGCACACGCACACGCACACGCACACGCACACGCACACGCACACGCACACGCACACGCACACGCACACGCACACGCACACGCACACGCACACGCACACGCACACGCACACGCACACGCACACGCACACGCACACGCACACGCGCACACGCGCACACGCACACGCGCACACGCACACGCACACGCACACGCACACGCACACGCACACGCACACGCACACGCACACGCACACGCACACGCACACGCACACGCACACGCACACGCACACGCACACGCACACGCACACGCACACGCACACGCACACGCACACGCACACGCACACGCACACGCACACGCACACGCACACGCACACGCACACGCACACGCACACGCACACGCACACGCACACGCACACGCACACGCACACGCACACGCACACGCACACGCACACGCACACGCACACGCACACGCACACGCAAACGCACACGCACACGCACACGCACACGCACACGCACACGCACACGCACACGCACACGCACACGCACACGCACACGCACACGCACACGCGCACCCACACACACACCCACACACCCACACACACACACACAACGCAACGTAGCCACACCACACACACAACGCAACGTAGCCACACCACACACCGTCCTCGCACACTTTCAATCGCATGGTGCTAGCTACTGCCGTCAGCGCGGGCTTTGGCCATTCATGATTGCTTGAAAAGGGCCAGTCCGAGCCCTTGAGTTCCAACCAGAGGGTGGCCGGTAATGTGTGTTAGATGCGATGCGGGTGAACGGCCCAGCCCAAGTGGCTATACGTAACCAAGAAGCAGTGCAAGGCGACAAACAGGGAGGAGGGAAGCCACAAAAGGACAAAGGCAACCACAAGACCAACAACCCAAGAAAAGGGAGGCAAAGAAGAAACACAACAACGGCGGCGAGGGGGGGCGAAGGGCAAAACAGCAACAACAGCGAACGAAGACAGAGCACGAAAGAACACAAAGGAACGGTGCACAGGAACCACGTACAGTGTACTCAGTGCAGGCTGCCACCCTCATCTCTTTCGACCGCTGAGGGTCTGTTCACGGCGCGCATACCAACTTATAGGCCCAATTGGGCGAGGGGGCCTAACAGCCTCTCCATGAGGTTTGCCATAGCAGGGCACGCCGGCCACACATACGTCCCCACCAATGGACGACTGTTGTTTAGCGCAACCCCAAGTGGGGAATGTGTACACTTGGAAGTATGAAAATCTCGCAGTGAGCCCTGAGTACATCAAGGCATGAATTCGACCCACCAGCTATCAACGTCGCCCAGGTGCAGTCAGCAGGTACGTTTCCTGACTATCTGACATGGAGCTTCGTTGGCAGAGGCCATGTCAGAAGTCCCTCTGCCCCCTGCGTGAAACCAACTTGTGTGCGAATTTCCCATGTCCAAAGGACCCCTTTTTCGGACCGCAAGGGTTACACACACACATACATATATAAGGAAGGCTGGTTCTTTCTCACACTCGACCCTAAGAAGCGCTAGCTTAGCACCTTTTCCACGGACACGTTGTGGTTGCAGCGCAGCGAGGCTCGCACAGAAGCCTCAGGCGAATGGCGTGCCTGGGCAGAGGACTGAAAAGCCGTGCACAACGCTCACTTGAGCCAAAATGTACACCGTCAATGCGCATCTCAAGGGTATGTATTATGCACAATTGGCGATCATGCTAGAAGCCTGCAAACCAGCAATTCCGGGGACCTCATGCTGGAAAACCAGGAATCGTAGTGATACTCACAGTTGCCCCCAGTCGGCATTGCCAACCAAGCGAATGCCAAGCATCGCTAAACATCGCGGGGATGCCGACTCTCAGTCAGCCAAGAGAGAAGAACCTACGCTGCTCTTAGACATCAGGCCGGCGTGCGTGAATCGGTAAACGACTCGCTAGCTCCTCAGACCTGTTCGGCCTCTTGGGGTTGTTGAGCATCTGCAAACTGCCAACCACTCCTTGAAGAAGTCCTCTCCAGCCCCGCTGCAAATGTAGACGCCGGTCTGAAGGTGGCCCGGCTGCTCGTCGTATAGCTGCAGCTGCCAAGGATCACGCGCGCAACCTTGTAATCCTTGTAGTCGGAAGCCTCGATGATCATCAGGCTCTTTGGCGTGCTGCAACTCACGGAAATTATTGTCGATTCTCAGCGACCTGCTCTGCGCGTTCCTCCCGGAACTCACCTTCACAGTGAGGGACCACTTCAACCACTCCAGAGATCGGAAGCCCAGCTGCGCAGGTGGTCGGCTCAATGCCTGGGTTTCTAGCATGCTCAACCATACCTACAACAAGCTCCTCGGTGACATGGTTAGCATCCAGCGTGCAGTCAACAAGCTTGTCCAGAACTTTCTTTCACCGCAGTCCAATAGTGATTACCCACCGGCCTCGTTCAGCACCACCCAATTCTTAAGCGCATCAAGCTTAGCATGCTTCGCCTCCTTCTTTTCAGCTGGACTGGCACAGCGGCAGGCTTGCTGACCACAACAGTCAAGGTGGCAAGGGAGCTACCGTCTGGGTTTGTGACAAGCTGCTTAGTTGCTCCCTCGGCGAGCAGGACATGGGACATGTCGCAGTTAGCTCCTTTCTTGCACGCACCATTCTGCTGGCAGGGGGCTTTCATCGGGCTTACCCTTTTCCCTTGTCCGCCTCTTACCATCTATTTATCTATCTATCTATTTCTCTATCTATCGATCTATCTATCTATCTACCTATCTATCTGTCTTATACCTTTCTTTCTATCTTCCCATTTGTCTATTTATTTGTCTACCTCGCCATATAACGTATGTGTGTATGTGGGTATGGTATCGTTAAGAGTTGTGCCCGTTTTCGGGTTTGTGGGCGGGGTGCATTCACATGCTTTTGCCTTTTTTTGGTAGTTTCCTTTGTCTATCGTTTCAGACATTGATTGGGAGCCTAGATTTGATGAAGCCACATAGGCGCCGCGCAGCTCACAGAGACCCAGAAAACAGGCGTTGCTCTTAGGTAGACGTCGGGTTTTTGCCATAGCCATGTCCCCTCCTGCCAAATGTGTTGCGTTGTTTTGGAGCATGCTCTGTATAGACTCTGGATTGGGTGTGTTTTCAAAACACATCAATGCAACGCCGCCTTTGTCGGATAACCACTCAACCCGATGGGATTGCTATCTTATGGTATGCGCAGGTCCCCGAGTCGTGGCGAATCTTCTTCCATGCCAGACAGGCTCGATGCGTGCGGTTTGGTTGGTTGTCCTAAAACGAAATCTCAACATGTGGGTGTTGATCAACAGGTCCTTTACATGTGATGACCATTGGGGAAAACCACACAAAAGATGATATTTCCCGAAAATGGGACAACTTACCCATGGTCATTTGGGGCCAGGAATATTGATCCACCCCCATGTAATGCTCAAACAAGTTGCACGTTCAAACCCACTTCGAGGTAAAGATAAGAGACACAAATTGGATCGGGCTCACTATTTGGCAGATGTTGCACATCGTTCCTCTAATTGCAGCGGCTGAGTTTGAAGAACTCTTCTATTTCATGGCTAGGTTATGTGTCATGTGAACAGTAGCCTAGCCCCCCCTTCCCGCAAGCAAAGAACAACCCCTGGTTTCGACAGTCACAAAATATTTCACGTACAGAACCATCCTGAGCTCCCAAATCCTGCGCCCTGGTGAGCGACCGCTAAACTATACCTGGGCAAGTGAACTGATTATGTGCCCCTTTTAGCGTGCCTCAATTATCGGTTCCCCAATGCGCCACGCGACCCGGGCAGTTTCTCTTTCAATTGCCTGTCCATACCCTCGCTCGGCCAGCCAAGTACGATGAAGCGCATTCACAATGACATTCACTCAGGCCTCCCTTCCGAACTTTTTGTTGGTTTCCGCATGAAAGCCGAATGTGCACGCGCTTTGAGGTTGCCAGACAGCTTCCACACGCTGTTTAGAACATCAAACACAACCATGGACTGACATCAACGCGCCTCAACTCCAATCGCAGTACCCATACAACCAACAACGAAGCAGATTTCTAGCGCGCGCTGTCCTACTTGCAAAGCACTTGGCGCTGACTATGATTCCCTCTCGTTTGTGTTGAAGGGTGCGAGTTAGACGGCTCCTCCCTCCAGGCACCGGGCTGGGTGGTTTTGCATTCGCGTCACCGCGCGCATGCGCGTGCACAGGTGGCGCAGGACATCGAGGGCCGAGGAAATGCTTGTTTGCCAGCGGAGTTGAGGCTCCCAGATGCCCTGCTCTGAGGTGGGCAGGGGGTGGTGTGAAGGTGGAGGTGGTCCTCTCTGTGCTGATCTTGACGTGCTACACATACACTAGTGCGGGTTGCCGGCTAAAGGATACTCGTGATATGATAGAAGGGCACTGGGTGTAGCTACAGCAAGAGTGTGGCAGTGGTTGTGGTTCTGCCAGGAAGATGTTTCGACCTGGGATCCTTTCAGCTTACTTGTTGGATTCCTTTCCGAGGAGAGTTGTGAATCGACACATAGGAGTCCCGAGTTTCGACATTGCTGTGAGTTGTTCGCTAGACGGGTCAGGCGGAAGCTGCCCCACGATTCCGCAAAGTCGCTCTGAGCTTCCCGCACAGCCAAGTAGCTGCCTTTGAAGAGGTGTCCAGACACGAAAAAAGAAGACCCCCCAATGCATGAATCAATGAAGGATGTTGGAAATCTGACCATTTTTAACCATTTGATCCCCTGCCAATTGAGATAGAACCTACAAAGGGATTCCCCAGAAGGAGATTCCTCCATATACGATTGGTTCTATGTTACTTTGTTCTCTGTTCCTCCTTGTCATTGCTCATTTGGGCTTGGACCAATCCAAAAGGGAAACCTGGTTTGAGGGGCCCCTTCAAATCATTCAGGCACCGACCTCGGAGCAAAGGTGTCTTTTTGGTGGTGCCCCTTTCGGGGTGCGTGTAAAGGAAATCCGAAGGAGCCTTCCAACTTTTCTTGGGTGGGGCCTTTTTGAAGACAAACTCGCATTGGCATGCCTTTGTTTCTTTGAGGGGGCTCAATGACTTTCTTCATATTCCATTCAAGACACAGAAACCGCACACGGACCGATACCTCTTTGCCTGAAATCAGTTGGACACCTCACCGATGCTATTCTTCCGCTTGGTCAGGGTGTCAACCCCCAGGCCCCAAGATCTGCCTCTTGCATCACTGCCAGCTTGGAATGCTGGCAGAGCAGCGTGCAACAGAAGCGCTCCTCTTTCTCCTCAGCTCAAACGTCCAACGTCGACCTTTTGACCTGTGCCATGGACCCAAACACGTCAGTTTCTCCTTTCGGATGGAGCTCGACGGAACCTCTCTGGTCTGCGAGCTTTTAAAGTTCCAGCTCGGACCCATGTTCTTGACATTAGAGGTAAATACAATTGAAACCCTGAATTGGATGCAAAGAAAAACTAGAGATTCACTGGCGTTTTGTGGTTCGTGTACAAACGCGAGTTTGGGCATCTACACTTTACTTGTCGCTGGACAGGTTCTTTGTGGATGCATGAGCACAGCACGTGTTTGCCTCCACATACACGTGCAAGTGAGTTTGCGGGTGCGTGAGAACATGCTTTTGCGCAAGAATGCGTGATTGCATGCGCGCGCGCGTGCTTGCTTTCAGCCTGGCATGCATGGCGTGCGTGCGATGTTTGTGCTGCATACAAAAGCCAGGTACTGGCCATACAAAAATCACATGCAACACGTACATACATACCTACCCACCTACACACACACATACATGCCTGCATACATGTATACAAACACCACATACTCATGCACATACACATGCACATACATATACACACGTACGCACACATGCACGCCTACACGCATGCACAGACATTCACACATACGCGTACACAAATATACCTAGGCATACCTATACGTACATATGCGTTCATATACATACATATAGACCCTATACATACATATGTTATATACACATACGCATATACATGCGTGGATTCATTCATTCATTCATTCATTCATTCATTCATTCATTCATTCATTCATTCATTCATTCATTCATTCATTCATTCATTCATTCATTCATTCATTCATTCATTCATTCATTCATCAATTTTCCTTATTCATTTATTCATTTATTCATGTATTCATTTATTTGTTTATCTTAGTTGATTTATTCATTTATTCGTTTATATTCGTTAATTTATTCATTTATTGATGTCATTCGTTCATTCGTGCGTTCGTTCATTCGCTTGTTCGCTCACTTGCTTGCTTATGCAAGCTACCGTACCGTACCGTACCATACCATACCATACCATATCATACCATACCATACCATGCCATACCACCCAATCCAACCCTACCCTACCCTATGATAACAGAACGGAACATGAGATAATGCATTTTATGACATAACTACCACGACAGAACACAACATCACATGACAAAACATGGCATAAAATATATACTTTCATACCTACTTTACTTGTCTACCTACATACCTTTATACATGTATACCTACATACATAGGCAGCGCGACAGACTGGCAGACTGACAGACAGACAGGCAGGCAGACAGGCAGAACACACACACACACATACACACGCATGCACACATACCCACACACACACACATACGCACACATTTACACACACACACACACACTCATACACTCATACACACATACCGAGAGACAGAAAAGCAAACAAACAGGCAGACAGACAGACAGGCATGCATAAAATGGATGCAGAAACATGCGCGTATATGCGGGGGGGGATGTGCGCCATGTGCGCTGCATGTGTGCGTGTGCGTGTGCCCATGCTTTGGTTGGTGGACACGCGCACAGTGTGTGCGTGCTTTGTTTGTGCGCGCGCGTGTTTGTGCTTTTGTTTCTGGGTTTGTATTTCTGTGTGCTTGCAGGGCAGTGTACGGTTTGTAGGTGGGCTTGCAGTTTTGTTGCCGTGCTGCACTGGTGGAGTGTTGTTTTTGTGTGTATTGGACAATTTGTGCGTGTACAGCATGTACATACATCCATACTACATGTATATGTGTCATTATGTATAGCCATGTGTCTATTTATATATATATATATATGTGTGTGTGTTTGTGTGTGTATGGGTGTGTGCGTGTGTGTTCGTCTCTGCCGGCGTGCGGGGTCTCATTGAGCGGCTGTGAGACTGGAAATTCGTAGCTTGTGCCTTGAGAGAATGCAGTACAAGGACCTTCTGGAGCACACTGCCTGCTTAGAGCCGGACGTGAAATTCATGACAATTCGCGTTGCCGCAGTTGTTCCTCTGGCTGATTTCAACATGGCAGGCCCTGCTGGAAAAGCGTGCTTCGTAAAGGCCGTTTCAGGACAAGAGAAGAGGAACCTGCATGTCCTCCCACAGGTGGTACATCCCACTGAGAGGGCTGTGCACCCTCACTTGTTGGTTTGGAGTGTGTTCCGGCACATTCGCCCTGCTTTGTTAATTCTGACGGCCAGCGAACGACAAGCCACCAGTGGAGCTTGTTTGTTCTTTGAAGCGCAGTTGTTGCAACCCAGCCGCTGGTGCGAGTCTATGGAGGAAGGAACTGTTCTGCCAAGCAGCGTTTGTCTAATAGCAGGCTCAACTCGCTTATTTTCGGGTTTTGATACTGCATTAATACCTTAAGGTCCTACATTTTGCCAAGGTGCTTGCCATATTGCGATTGTTGGCTCCATTCCTTGTAGATAACCTGAGTGCCTTGCAAAGAAGAGAATTAGTCCTAGTGACCATTCCAAGCACCAGCTTCAAGCAGCAACAAAAAGACACCGGTAAACTGGTACATACTGCTCCTTGGGCCGGGTTTCGCTCTATACTGGAAGGCAGAACTGATTGTTAGTACCCAGCTGGCAAAGCAAACGCAGAACCGAACATGGATTTACTTCCGCACTTCTCATGATGAATGTCTTTTATTGTTGGCCTTGTTTCTGGACCTATTTGGAATGCCAAACTATCTTAGAAGTTGGTAGGGCTCTTTCTTGTTGTGCTTTGCCAGATCTAGCACGGGGAACTTGATGTGCAAACAAATCCAAGGCAGGTCTACTTGTGATGTGCAATGGGTGCTCAGGAGTAGAACCCAAGGATATTTGTACACAACAATACACAAACAAGCAAATAAATATATATATATATATATACATGTATGCTACCCCCGCCCCCCCAAAAGAATAAAAGAAAAAACAAACACACACACACACACTACCAACACACTGCATTTCTTGAGTGTTTCGAGATTCAAGATTCCCCAGAAATCGTTCTTCCGAATCTTGGATCTTGAGTCTTGAGAAGCGTGACTTTACACTCTTCTCAGGCAAATGGGATTCAATATTTCTCACGCAGCTTTTTCCAGCATCTTGAGTCTTGAGTCTTATCCACTTGTAGCAAGCGATTGGGTTGCTGTTACAACAACGTTTGGAAAGCAAGCCCTATCGAATTTATGTGTTGTTTATCTAGTTTGGTTTTCTACAATACACTCAATACCATTTATTGAACATCAAATACGATAGTAATATCCGATAAAGTTGCCGTTTCAACTTCAAACTAGATTCAGCTTTCAGCAACTACATGTTCTTGTGCATTCAAAGAGCAACTATTGAAATTAAGATCAACTTCAATTTCAAAAGGATCATTGCCCTTATCTAAGTCTATGTAATTTTAAGTGAGCACGAACTGAGCCAAGCCAAATGCAGGTGTGTTTCAATCAGCATGGATCTGATCCTAAGCAAAAACGCAGTAAACTGCAGTATGTTCAGCATGTGTCAGATCATCGTTCCTAGAAAGGTCAAGCTGTGCAGTGCATGTCATTCTTATTTCTCACAAATGGGGGTCAAGCTGAACGCCTACTAGATCCAACATGAAGGGTCTGTGAAAGAAGCAGAACGTTTCTGGACACACTTAAAAGTGTTTTGGGCTGGACCCAAGATCCGAGACTGCACAGCAACAAACCTGGGGAATCTGCAATCTGAGTTTTAAGCTACTCCACAAGAATGAAAGTGTTTGAAACAAGTCGCAGCTGTTGCGAAACATGTCCGAGGCTCTCAGCTTGGTTCACAAAATATTGCGCAACATTGTGGAAATGTTGCCCAGCATGTCCACTGGCACATATATATAATATGATACATATGTATACATATATATATATATATGTGTATAGCAAAACTTTTCAGCCCTGGTGGGGTAGGATTGTTTGTATATATATATATACTGTTGTTTGGTTGGGTTGCCAGGTGTTGGCCAACATGTTGCGCAGCTTCTCCACTG